GAAGGAATAAAAACCAAACTACTAGCAGAACTAGTTAAGATAGAGTGCTAGTGAGTGCGAAATACACAACCAGAGCATAAATAGTCTAAGTGCAATCAAGCAGGACAAGTACTAATAATACAACACCCGAGGGTGATCTTACATGGTGATGTTATGTCAGAACCCCCATCAGAATCCTCATGATCCACCAAAGCACTTCTACCTAAAACCTGGAGGGGCGCAAAACATAAAGTGTGAGTGGGCAAAAACAAAGCTTTTTAAAATCATTTCATTTCTCAAAAGTTTTAACCCCTCGTCGTAAAACCTGTATAATTTTCCCAGAGAAATAAAATATATACATATCTCAAAACCATGTTTAGAAACGATATTCGTAAGTATGCCATGCCAAAGTATATCTATGAAGTGCCATAAATAACCCAAGTAATATAACAATGATAGGTATCACAACAACCAGATGTCCCTAACTCAACTGCATGGCTGAGTCTATAGCTCATAATCAATCTCAATCATATCCAATCAAATCAAATCCTGCACATGAGTCGGAACCACCTAAAGTGGCCTGTACGACAAGACTAGGTGTAAAATAAATATGCTCTAGTGCTACGATCACGTGAAGGATGTGCGAATAATCGCGAGTTACCTACGAGTCGGAACCACCTAAAGCGGTCTGTACAACAAGCCTGTGCACCTAACTTGGATCCAAGGTGAGTATATGGTGCGGGAGGTAAACATCACGTGAAGGACTGTGCCCTAACTCTGGGCGGGAGCATTAACACCAGGGTGCAGGTTTATGAGCTCTCAATACATCACATAACCGAAACCATCTCATACCTTTGATTTATGAACTTACCTGGCACTTACCTGTGTGTCCGTAGCACCAATCATGAATGTATGCAACTACTAATGCATAATTAAAATAGATAGATACTTGCATGGCATTTTCGAAACATACATTCATTTAAACATATTTTCTGGGAAAAATCTCTAGTATATATATACAGAAAACCAAAAGCCCACTCACTGATACGTCGAAGGGTCATAGCCCCCGAGCCTCGATTGATGGCGCTCATCCTCAAGATAGGTCTCACCTATATGCGAAATAACTGAATAAACGTTATTTAAAGCACATAACCAAAACTAGGTAATAACTTCTCATACATTACTCAATTGGGGTGTTTGAATATACCACCGTGACCTATTCAACCTCAGGAACATCCCTATATTTTTAGAAAAATTTTCCGACGTCCCACACGCGGCCAACCCTGATGGAATCCTTAACCGCCGTTAGGGAATATTTTGCTAAAAATTAGAATATTTCGTTAAAACTAACCTAATGTCGTTAACTGATATTAGGAATATTCTGTCAATATCGAAGAAGTATTCTCCTTTCTTCTCCGACGAATCGCCGGTCGCCAGAAACTGGAAATTCGAAAAACCTTAATATCTTCTTCATTTTTCAACCAAATTTCACGAATTTTATACCAAAATGAAGCTTAAGACAAGTAGAACAAATCCTTACCAGTTTTAGGACCTAAAACTCACGGGGTCTAGCTGTAAAATCCACGATAACCGGCCACCTTTGCAACTCACTATTCCCGAGCTTCTTGACGTCCAAAACGCCTCAACTCTCTACTCCGAGCTTCGGGGGAGTGATCTAAAGCTTCCTATAACCTCAAAACTCCCTGAAAACTACACATTTACATGTGCATGAACAGTGCATCAAATCGGGATTCGAGTTCTCACGATCTCGACGTCCTCGCGACCAACTACAGGTACCAATGTGTTCTTGGGCTTGCAAGGAACATAAAACCAACCTTCAAGTCTTTGATCCATGAATGAAATGGATACTTGAAACTTGTCTGTAAGATTTGTATGAAAAATGGGAAGAAAAAATCGAGACGGAGAGAGAAAGAGTCAACGGAATTGGATGAGGGTGAATGTGTGTGGTCCAAATTGGGTCACCAACCAAAACAAATAAAACTTTAAAATTTGGTTGGGTCCAAATAATTAGGAAATGAACTTAATTGCTCCAAAACCTTAGCCCATTTACACACATCATCACCAAACGCTCAGGGCAATTTCATCAATTCACGCAATCGATAAAAATAATTCGGGACGGGATGTGACAATCTACCCACCTTATAAAAAAATTTTCCTCGAAATTTACACAATCATCAAATCCATTAAAAATCATAAAATAAGTGTGGATACATCTCTCTCATCCGGTCATCTGTCTCCCAAGTAGCTTCTTCCACTAAATGATTTCTCCACAAAACTTTCACCAAACGCACTGTCTTATTCCTTAGTTCTTTATTTTTCCAATCTAAAATAGTCACTGGTTCCTCATCATACGTCAAATCCGGATTAATTTCCAAAGGTTGAGGAGGAATTACATGTGAAGGATCTGGGACATAATGACAAAGCATAGAGACATGAAAAACATCGTGCACTTTTGATAACTCTGGATGTAACTCAAGTCTATAAGCAACCTCACCTACTCGCCCGGTGATCATATATGGTCCAATGTACCTAGGACTCAGTTTTCCTTTCTTTCCAAACCGCACAACACCTTTCCATAGGGATAGCTTCAGAAATACACAATCACCTACATTATACATCCGGTCAGTGGCATGTCTGTCTGCTAGACTTTTTTGTCGGTATTGGGTCGTTTTCAGGTTAGACTTAATCATCTGAATATTCTGAGTAGGCTCCTCCACTATCTCAGGACCCACTAACACTCTTTCACCAACTTCTGACCAACATAAGGGTGTGCGACAAGATTTACCATAAAGAGCCTCGAAATGTGACATACCAATACTTGAATGAAAGTTGTTGTTGTAGGCGAATTCCATTAAATCCAACTGCTTATGCCAAGCATCACCAAACTGCAATACTGAAGATCTCAACATATCTTCGAATGTCTGAATGGTCCTCTCTGATTGTCCATCTGTTTGAGGATGATATGTTGTACTATAAAATAATCTCGAACCAAGAGCTTCTTGAAATGCTATCCAAAATTTAGAAGTAAATCTAGGATCACGATCCGAGATAATACTAATTGGAACTCCATGGTACTTCACGATATTCGATACGAATAATTCAGCTAATTGCCTTAAAGAATACTTCTCCCTCATTGGAAGAAAATGTGCTGACTTAGTAAGCCGATCAACTGAGGAAATTGCAGTTACTTGAAATTGGAATTTGAGATTAAGGATCTTGGAAAAACTAGATACTGTCTCGGCCTGGAGATCGAGCATTGTTCGGATGGAATCCTAATACCTCAATCGAACTACACCTAAAAGTTATTGCGACATTTTAATAAGGATAAAGTGAAACTTTAGAGTATTCCTATAGTCGTTCGAACTCTAAATGTTAAATGAGATCCCTTATTGACCAAAAAAAAAAACGAGATCCCTTCCATCCCAATGAGGATGAGGATGAGGATGAGAGTTTGGAGCCCGAAGTTCCATACCTAAGTTCAATTCATGCTTTATTATACTTAACTCAATACACTAGACCCGAGATCTCCTTCGTTGTTAATCTTTTAGCTAGATACAGCAACGCGCCTACACACAGACATTGGAATGGTGTTAAAGACATTTTTCGCTACCTCAAAGGTACGACAAATTTGGGCTTGTTCTACATCCACGAATCCTCGAGAAGAGCTGCTGTCCCTCAATCATCAGGTTGATTCTCGCCTCTTGGGTTACATAGATGCTAGTTATCTGTCTAACCCACATAGGGCATATTCTCAAACTGACTATGTCTTTACTGTTGGAGACACTGCAATATCTTGGAGGTTTACCAAGCAAACGCTAGTTGCGACTTCTTCGAACCATGTTGACATTCTAGCCTTACATGAAGCCTCATGTGAGTGTTTTTTTATTGAGAGCAGTTATGGAATACATTCGAAGCACTAATGGTCTTACTTCTGTCGTTGACCTTCTTATGACTATCTTTGAAGACAATATAACATGTATTGAGCAGTTAAAAAAGGGATACATCAAGGGAGACAACACCAAGCATATAGCGCCAAAGTTCTTTTACTCTCACCAACAACAACAACATTAGAACATTGAAGTCAACCAAATCCATTCCCAGGGCAACCTGGTTTATCACTTCACCAAGTCATTGCCCAAGTCTACTTTTCAGAAGCTCGTCCAAGGAATCGGCATGCATAAATTATCTGAGTTGAATTGCTTGTAGTTCTTTTATTTTGAAGTTATATCTAACTTAGGGGGAGTATCCAGAAGTATACTCACTTGATCTTAATGTACTTCTTTTTACGATTAGAAGCATTTTTCCCACTGGATTTTGCTACCTAACGAGGTTTTGATGAGGCACCCATCCTGGGATGATCATACTTCGTTGAGTTCACTACTTTCGTCTCGTTTGATTTTTATTTTAGACATTATGCATACTTCTCACTTTTCTCCTTAACGTATGGGTTTTTACCTGTCTTAGGTTTTACCATAGTGAGGTTTTGTGAGTTTTACTACCAATGCATACTTTGTTTAAATTTGAGACTCACATTCGCCCGTTTTGCCGACTTTATCAACCGTTCTACCTCAACTACTGAAAACCTGATGCGAAGTTTTGTTTGAGTATTTACACACTTAAAGGGGAAGTGTTGCAGTCCTATTAGATTAGGAGTGTGATTGTGCAAATCCTAATGTATCTAGGGAGATCTTGGAATATTCCCCTTAATATATATTATCCTATTAGAGTTGTAATCCTATTAGGGTAAGAATTTAACATGTCCTACTACTATAAATATAGGCATAATGAGATGATACAACACACCTCATAATTAAATCTCTCTCTTGCAGCTGGCACTGTCCCTCTCTAGTCATAAATACAGTTCAGTAAATTAGGTCTACAACAAATATGAAAATTTTGAAAAATAATCAAAACTTCGACCCTATATAAATTTATGCCCTGATGACTATATTGAGATATTGGGCTGCTCAATTAATGGTGTGGTTTGTGTTCACAACGGAATGCGTAAGAATCTTGCTTTGTGGAACTCGTCAATTCAAAAGTTCAAGAAGATTCCTCTCCCAACCTTTGAGATTGAGCAGCAGCGATCCTTATTTGGGGTGACCCCTGAATATGGATTCGGGTACGATTCAGCTAATCACGATTATAAAATTTTGGCAATTTTGAATTTTAATAGGAGGGATGATGCTTATGTCCCTGTGAGTTCTCAAGTTAGTATTTATAGCCTAAAATTCAACTCATGGAAAAAGATCCCGGAATTGCCTTGCGATGGTTTCTATGTGCAGACGGGGGATGTGGTGTTTTTGAACGGTGCTATGAGTTGTTTGATGCGGAAATCAGATTCAGATAAAAATCGATGCAAAATTATAGCCCTTGATCTTGCCAGCGAGAAGTATATGTTAGTGTAAAACGAATTTTTACTGTTCTCTGTGAGCTGTGACTCACAAGTATTTTCTTATCTATGGAATAAAACTTGTTACAGAAATGAAGAAGATGATGCAGAAAGAGAGAGAGATGGAGAGAGCAGAGAATATGACTCTGCAAATGTTTCTTCACTGTTTCATTCCACCAAGAGTGAGAGAAGAAAAAGGTCTCTCTCCTCTTAACTGCAAATACAATTTAAATTTGGCAGTATTCAAATTACATCCAAACAATCCTAGTCATCCATCTTACATCCTATGAGATGAAGACACATATACACTCACTTGTTTAAGACCTATGAGACTTAATAAGAGAGCATACACACAATTTAGTTAATCATCCTAGCAATATGAGCTAGAAATACATCTGCCATATCATATCACAATTTACACACTAACAGCCCCCTTTAAATTGTGAACTGATTTCACTCCAAGAAGCTCTCTTAGATAAGTAAATTGTTCCCTTGCCAATGCCTTTGTGAAAATATCTGCAACTTGCTCCTTTGTAGGACAATAGACCAAATCGATCACTCATTGCTGCAATGCTTCCTTTATGAAGTGGTATCTTCTGTTTATATGTTTGGTCTTCTGATGAAAGATATGATTCTTTGTGATAGCTATGGCTGAGGTATTATCACAATTCAATGGTGTTGCAACTGTTTGCATTTCACCAAAGTCCTCCAAGACAAATCTTAACCAAGTAGCCTGTGCTGTTGCTTCAGAAGCACTGATGTACTCGGCTTCAGCTGTGGATAATGCAACACATTGTTGCTTGACTGAAGACCAAGAGAAAACCCCATTGCCAAAGGTAAAAGCATACCCGGATGTGCTTTTCATATCATCCTCTGAACCACTCCAGTCACTGTCACAGAATCCCACTAAGATTGCTCCTTCACCTTTCTTGTATTCCAAGCCAAAATCAAGAGTTCCTTGAACATATCTTAGTATTCTCTTTGCTGTCCCAAAATGTTTGTTGGTAGGACAATGCATAAATCGAGATAAGAGACATGCTGCATACATTATGTCAGGTCTAGTTGCTGTGAGATACAACAAACTGCCTACAATTTGTCTATACTGAGCTTCATCTGCATTTCCACTTCCATCTTCTTTTCTCAATTTATCACCTAGAACCAATGGAGTACTCACAAATTTACAGTCTTGTAGTCCAAATTTCTTCAGTAGAGATAAGGTATACTTTATCTGATGAATGAAAATACACTCCTCAGTTTGCAGTATTCCCATACCAAGAAAATGATGCAAGAGTCCCAGATCAGTCATCTTATATTGGTGTATCATATCAGATTTAAATTCATTCATTAACTCTTGACAACTTCCAATATATATTATATCATCAACATAAATTGATACTATAATCATTTCTGAGTCTCTCATACACTTGGTATACATAGTTGCTTCACTGGTGCTTTTCTTAAATCCACAGAGAATAAGATATGAGTCTATTTCACCATACCAAGCCCTAGGTGCCTGTTTTAGGCCATACAATTCTTTATGCAGTCCGTAAACCTTGTCTTCTTCTTTTTGCACAACAAACCCATCTGGCTGATCAACATACATTTCCTCCTCTAACACTCCATTCAAGAATGCTGAGCCTTTTGCGCATAGCCTTTTGCAACAAGTCTGGCCTTGTTCTTCTGAACTGATCCATCCAGGTTCAATTTGGTTTTGTACACCCATTTTACCCCAATCACAGGTTTTCAGATGGTCTTTTCACAAGTTCCCAAGTCTGATTTTTTTCAATCTGCATGCTTCATCTTTCATTGCCTTCTTCCATGCTTCATCTTATGCAGCTTCAGTATAACACTCTGGTTCAATGATACATGCATGGCATCTCTCATAAATCTCACTCAAGTTTCTATATCTCAGTGAAGTGTTATCAAACTGAGGTATAGGAATTGAGCTGCTTGCACTTCCAGAGTCAATAGGTGAGGAGTCAGCAATTTGAATCTGAGGACTTTCAACCATAGCTTGTTCCATAAGATCTGAACCTTCATCAACTTCTTCCACTTCTGATGACCCACTTGCAGAAAATGGAATACACACATCCTTGACCTTATGTTTCTTCCAATCCCATTTACCATTCTCATAAAAAATCACATCTCTTGAAAGTATCACTTTCTGAGTTTCAGGATTAAACAGTCTATACCCCTTCTCACAGGTGCCATATCCAATAAAAATTCCAATGACACTTGTTTCCTCCAGTTTATGTCTCAAATTTCCTGGAATAAGAGAGTAACAGATAGAACCAAACACTCTTAAGTGTTTAATTCCAGGTTTCCTTCTACTGAACTTCTCAAAAGGTGTCATATTTTCCAATGCTTTTGTAGGACATCAATTAAGCAAATAGACAGCTGTAATCACAGCTTCACCCCAGAAATTATAAGGAAGACCTTTCTCATGGATCATACATTTAGCCATCTCCACTACGGTTCTGTTTTTCCTCTCTGCAACTCCATTCTGCTATGGAGAATATGCAACAGTGAGCTGCATCTCCAAACCCAAACCTTCACAGAATTGTTCAAATTCCTTTGAGATGAACTCCCCTCCTCTATCGATTCTCAATTTCTTCACAGAGTAGCCATTTTGAAGTTCCACCATAGCCTTGAATTTCTTAAATACATGGAAGACATCTGACTTGTGTCTCAAAAGATATATCCAACACATCCTCGAGTAGTCATCAATGAATGTAACAAAGTATCTATTTCCACTTATTGTTGATGTTTGCATAGGACCACACACATCCGAGTGTATAAGCTTCAATGGCATACTAGCTCTCCAAACTAATTCCCTTGGAAAAGACTCCCTATGATTCTTTCCAAACGCACATCCTTGACACACACCTTCACTATCATGCATTTTAGGTAATCCAAGAACCATATCATACTCCTGCAGTTGTTTCAAACTTCTATAATTCAGATGACCAAATCTTTTATGCCACATTGTGCTACACTGATGCACATTTGTTTTCAGTACCAAATGATCATTTGATTTGAATACAAGCGGAAAACATTTATTCCCCTTTTGCTTCACACTAACCACTAAATTTGTCAGAGTTCTGTCATAAAAAATATCCACTTTATAATCACCAAACATTAGAAAATACCCATGTTCAGTCATCTGGCCAACACTTAGCAGATTCTCTGCCAGTCCAGGTACTAACATAACTTCTCTTATGTACCTCTTTCCCTTATCAGTATCAATAACCAAGGTTCCTTTACCTTTCACATCAACCAAAACCCATGTGCCAACTTGCACTTTTGCCTGAATACTTCTATCAATATCCACCAGTAACTCTTCTCTGGAGGTCATATGATTACTGCACGCACTGTCTATATACCAAGCTTCACTCACAGCTTTCACTTTAGTTGATTGCCTAACCATGAAAAGATTTCCAGGTTTTCCTACCTTGCTTGTGGGATTCCTTTGTTCTCCTACTTTATTCACAAAGTTTCCTTGCTGAATATTCTTGTTAAGATTGCAAACCCTGGCAATATGCCCAAGTTTCCACACTTGTGACATTGAATCCTCCCTTTCAGCCAACATTCTCCATAGTGAAGTCTATCACAGTATTTACAAGCACCTCCAGTGTTATTAGTTTCATTTCTCACTCCTGGAGTAAACTTGTTAGTCCACTGCTTCCCTTTGAACTTGAAATTCTTCTGAGATTTTGATCCACCAGTATTGGTAAACTGATTACCAACTTTACTGTTCTTAGATGAAATATCTAAGCTAGAAAATGCACGTTCAGTGCTATTCTCTTCATGTCTAGTTAATCTCAGTTCATACCCTTTCAGAATGGCAACCACATCTTGTGCATCAATTACATCAATATCTTTAGTATTTTCAATAACAGAAGCAATACTATCATATGATTTAGGTAAACTGATCAACAACTTTTGCACAATTCTTTGATTACTAAGATCTTCACCATAACTTTTCATTTGATTTATCAAATCAAACAACCTAGCTAAATATGTAGCTAGAGATTCACTTTCACCCATACGAGTATACTCAAAATCACAACGAAGACCTTGTACTTTCACAGATCGTACCCGTTTATCTCCTACAAATTCTTGCTTCAGAATATCCCAATCTGCCTTCACAGTTTCTAGAGTTGCAATCCGTGGAAAATTTTGATCCGACACTATTCCTTGAATGATTCCAAGAGCCCTCGCATCCTTCGCTGGAGGTAGATAACCCATCTCAACAATGCTCCACAGCTCGTGAGATCGGAAAATTGTTTTCATTCGAATTTGCCAGAAATCGAAGTTCTCTCCGTTGAATATCGAAGCGCGAAGCTCTCCTCCGCCAGATCCAGCCATGTTAGACTAAGATCTCACTACTCACTCTCACTAATTTTCTCTGCAACGAAATGTTGCTAGAACAAACCCTCACAAAATCTACGCCCATAAAATCAGACCCAACCAGGCTCTGAGGCCATGTTAGTGTAAAACGAATTTTTACTGTTCTCTATGAGCTGTGACTCACAGGTATTTTCTGATCTATGGAATAAAACTTCTTACACAAATGAAGAGGATGATGCAGAAAGAGAGAGAGATGGAGAGAGCAGAGAATATGACTCTGCAAATGTTTCTTCACTGTTTCATTCCACCAAGAGTGAGAGAGGAAAAAAGGTCTCTCTCCTCTTAACTGCAAATACAATTTAAATGTGGCAGTATTCAAATTACATCCAAACAATCCTAGCCATCCATCTTACATCCTATGAGATGAAGACACATATACACTCACTTGTTTAAGACCTATGAGACTTAATAAGAGAGCGTACACACAATTTAGTTAATCATCCTAGCAATATGAGCTAGAAATACATTTGCCATATCAGATCACAATTTACACACTAACGGTATATGGAGTTTGGCACCCCGGTGGGGGATGAGGATGACAATTTCATGATGAGTTTGGAGGTCTTGGGAGGCTCTCTATGTATTTGTGTTCAGCAGTTTTGGCCAAATGTGATATTTAGATTATGAAGGAATACGGAGTTACAAAATCTTGGACCTTGCTGTATTCTTTTGAGAATGGATGTATGCCTTATGGCAACAGATATTGCAAACCTTTGGTGTTCTCAAAGAACGGTGAAATGGTTGTTCTTGTGAATATAGAGCGGACTACCTTTTTTCGGTGTGATTTAAAGAAAAAGAGAGCCAAACAAGTTCGAATTTGTGGTCTGCCAACTTCCTTCAATGGAACCATTTGTGTGGGGAGCCTTTCTCTTCTTGACGGCAATCAGATGACGATTGGAAGGCAGCAGTAAGTCCCTTGTATAATTTCAAGCAGTGAATTTATCGATCTGGTAGTACAAGCAACAACAAAAGAAAAGATAATCCAAATATGTGAACTTGTGCGGTCCTTCCCTTATTCTAGGCTTATTGATCTCTGTAATGAATCCTTTTCTCATTATGGTAACCGTGTGTGTTAGTTTGTTAGTTTGCAAACTTGTGCTCACATCATAACATTATGATTCTATGTTTTCGTTTTGGTAGTTCTAAGTCTTTGTTTTATGTCTATTTGGTGTTATGGTGTATGAATAATGGATGACGTGCTACAATTTCATGCGTCTAATAGACAATGTTCCTCATGGTCTTTGTTCTTGATGTTGATCTGGGAAGCAGCAGCGAGTTCCCTCTCATAAGAAGTAATTTCCATATAAGCTGGATTCATTCATGATTGCAAATGTGTTGTGGGAAATGACTAGAGGTACGTCTGTAAAACGTTCCCTTTATGCCTTGGGTAATCGGAAATAGTAATAGTAACCCAGCAGGGTAGACATCCAAGAACGTGTGTGTATACCTTTTGTTTGCTGCAGTATGCCATAGCAGTTTGTCCTTCTACTTGTACTGGGATCGGGTGATGAGGCTGAGGCTGCCTCTCTTTTGCTTTACTCTTGGTTGCCAAGATAATGCTGATTTTCTGGAATCTGGGTGCCACTGATTTGGATACCGATTTTTTTTTTTTTTTTTAAATGTGACTGGAAGTTCGTGGGTAAAGTGAAAATAACTGTGCGGGTGAGAAAGATGTTCAAACCTTTGCCTCATTTTCTTTGTTCGAGACCCCTCAACGACTCAAGCCCATCTCAACACTCCTCGAAAACGAACAAATATAACACTCGAGACAAAAGATATGACTCGGCAAACACTATAGATGGGCTCGAGTTTTTCGCGTCAGGTCTCAATCAATGAGAAGTAGACAGTTTAGAGCAATTAATCTCAAGTTTACTTACATGATATGTGAATAAGAATGAATGAGATACCACGAGAGTCGGATCTAAGATGAGAGGAATACTACTGGATATTAGTACTACTAATGCACAAAATCAGATAGACCTTGAGTCAATGAAAAGAGTGGCTAAGTGTGCTTTGGTTGTTAAGTAGAGATGATATGAACAAAGATAAGGGTAGAGAAGTAAAGACAAGTGTACATGATTCATCTTAAGTTAGACTACGTTCACAAGGTTAGAGATGTTTTCAATTAATTCTTTTGATTGTTTAGATGATAATTTCCACACCTAAGTCCTTGTAAGGCACATTAAACTATAATTTTTCTAAAAAAATTGTCTACCTTAACATGCAGTCTATTCTGATTAAGCCTTTAACATGTAGGATTATTTACATTCGAGAAAACAAGCGAACCAAGAAAATCATTACTCTGTGAAGCAATAATGTAATTTATCACACTTAATAACAAGAAGCTAATTGAATTGTATGGATAGTTTAGCTTCAAAATCATCTCCAAATATTACTAAATGCAAAGCCTTGTGCTGATCAAATCTAGTTTTTGTTTATTTTCATTTGCCCAAACCCTATCTTCGTGGGAACAACACTTGGACTTGTAAATCATTTTACTACGACATTTTTGTGCAATTGCAAGTTTACATCTAGTTAAACTTGTTTTCTATAGGGGTGGGCATGGGCCGGGCCGGGCCCAAAATTGAAGGAACTGGACCGAACCTGTTTGTAAATAACACAGGGCGAGGCGGGGTGGGTTTTGGATTTTTCAAAATGAGATCCGGACCTAACCCAACCCTTTTGAAACAGGCTGGTTCCTATGGGTCCCCATGGGTCCCCACAGGTCCTATTGTAGTAAGGTAACTCGAGAAGAACAAAAAGGCTGCTAATGGAGATCGACTGACCCCTAATGACACGACGGCGCTGCTGGCGATGACTCGACGGTGCTCCTAGTTGATAACAAGCAGCTCGACTACTACAACTACTACAACACCACCGACGGCTACGTTTGCAACGGCGTCACTTCCTCATGCCTCTCCTACCTCACATTTCGCTTCCTCCCTCCTTTCTACAACTCTCCCTTCTCCATCACCTACCTCCTCAACTCCCTTCCCACCCGGATCGCCTCGATCAATAACATGTTTGACGTCAACCCCATCCCCATCGGCACTCCGGTCATTGTCCCCGCCAACTGCTCTTGCTTTTCCAACAATAATTACAGTTGGACAACCAAGCCCGTCATGCATAAACACTCGATGCCCGGTGAACAGATGAAGCTGGGAAAATTCGAGATCGAGGTCAAAAGGAGTCAGGATTTAGAGGCCGCTATGATCGAAATCAGGATTTAGGACTCTGGAAGTCTAGAGAATTCTACATAACCTAAGAAATAAACGGTGGAGATTTAATCTCCCTATAATGAACAGTGGAAACGGTTCGGGCTAGGAGCCTGTTTTCTCTGAAATTTGTACCCGCCCCATCTCGTCCCGTTTTGAATTTACAATATATGTACCCACCTCTACCCGTGGGTCCATGATTCGTTTGCCCAGTCCTAGTTTTCTGGTTTGTTTTACGCCCAATATGGTCCATCAACAATATGTAATAAATTGTCCAAACTTAATTATCTATTATTATTAAGTGTTGGATTTGTCACAAAAAGACCCCGATATTATTATTGGCTTTTTAGTCAAAATTGTCCCTGAAATTAGCATAATTCCTTAATTTGATTTCTGAGATTTGAAATCGATTAAAGTGGTATCTGAGTTTGAGCCGGAATCATCACCATAGGGACCAAAAATAAAATTTTCCAAGGAAAAAAAAAAAAGAACTAAAAAACTTAAAACCTGACGGAGACGGCTTGAATCCGTTCTTGCTGTCAGAAACAGAAAGGCGCGACTGTGAGAAAAGAGAAAGAGATAGGGAAGGGAAAGAAGAAGCAGAAGTAGATGGGATCGGAGTAGGGGTGGAAAAAATTCCCAAAAATCCCGAACCGAACCGAACCGAAAAAATCCCGATCCCAAACCAAAAATTTCCCAAACCGAAATTCCCGAAATTTTTGGGATGCTATCCCGAACCGATCCCGAAATTTTGGTACAGGATTCGGGATTGGCTTCTCGATATTTCGGGAATCCCATACCGAACCGAAAATATATATTATTAATTATTATATATATATATATATATATATTTATACATATATATTATTCTTTTATAATTGATTATGGACTTTATGGTTTGAACTTATTAGAGAGAATGGAATATGTTGTGAATTATGATATGACGTAAGCAATGTTGTTTTATTTATGTCGAAACCAAGAATGTTGGATCAGCTAGTTACTATGCTTGAGTCTCTTTACTGTTTACACCAATAAATGGAGCTTGTTGGCATTGTAAATATGTATTTTACATATGCAGATTACTGGTAAATGGACAGCAAAGCAGTGCAAGGTAGCAATGCTTGTCAGTCAGGTTAAGAGCCTTCAAGCAAAGTTTACAGTTTGCAATCCAATGCTTGTGCCCCGATATGAGATTATATTTGCATTTAAACTAGCAAGAGATGTGAATGAGACTTGCTTGATATGTTTCCCGAATTTGTCCCGAAATCCTGAAACTATTTCAGGATTCCCGAAAATTGGGATTCCCGAAAATTTGATTTGTCCCGAAATCCTGAAATTATTTCTGGATTTCCGAAAATTGGGATTCCCGAAAATTTGGTTTGGGATCGGTATTCAAATTGGGATTCCCGAAAAATTTGGTTTAGGAATCGGGACAAGGATTTCGGTATGGGATCCCATACCGAACCACCCCTAGATCGGAGCGTGAAGCTGCAATCCCCGAATGGGCGTCAGAGCCTTGCATCATGGGCATCAATGAAGCTGGCCGCGGCCCTGTTTTAGGTCTCTACTCTACTTTCTTCCACATTTTATACATATTTCATTGATTAATTTCCTCCATTAAAAACAATGTCGACAGGTCCAATGGTGTACGGATGCTTGTATTGTACTCCCTCGTACCAAAATACTCTCTCCTCTTTGAACTTTGCAGGTTTAGCTTCTTCCTCCTTTTCTTACTTTTTAATTTACATTTAATCGGTTCTGGGTTTTTTTTTTTTTTTTTTTTTTAAATTTCATTTTTCCCAGCTTGGGAGATGGTTATGTTTATTATTTTTGTTTAATTTATATAAATTATTAGCCTTTTCAGAAAACAAATATTGATATATGTTAACTGTTTAGCTATAGACTTCCACACAAAGCAAGCAAAGAAATCAATGTGGTTCTACTTTATTGCTTATGCACTTCATGAGATTCTCATCGATTTTATGGATACTAGTTTTAAGCTAACTTGAACTTGGTGGACCTATTTCACATGAAATTTAAGGTTGATCAGGCTTGTGCTATGTTCACGCCGGACTCTAACTATGATGTAGAGCAAAATGCAGTTGGGATGCCCTAGGATCAATTAATTGGTGAGATGACCTTTTCATCCACACAGTTCTACTTAGTGTTTTCAACCATGTTTACCCTAATTTGGTATTTTGGAGTATCACTTTCCCTTCTAAGCTCATTGTGTTCGAATATTGCATCAAAAGTCATATCCCACCCTGTGTTTTTAGTCCCGTTTTGCTTCCTGCAGATTCAAAGACATTGAAGGAAGAGAAGAGGGAGGAATTGTTTGAGAATTTAAAGGCTGATGAATCCATTGGGTGGGCTGTTGATGTCATAGATCCAAGGGAACTTTCGGCCAAAATGCTAAAGAAGTTAGTATTGACATGGATACTTTTTCCTATGTCTTTGGTTTGTTTTGAGACAGACGTAAGATAATATCACATGACTCCGCAATGGGTCTTGTCACAAAGGTCCTAAACATGGGAGTTCTTCTAACCGAGGTAAACTCGTTGTAGCTTAAAGAGATTACTGGTGATGTACAAGTCTTTTTATGCATATGCATGCCTGTCTCAGCTCCCAAATACTTATGAATTGATCTTACAACATATTTTTTATGAACAAAAAAAGGAGAAGGCATGTTCTTGACTCTAAAACACAAAACTGTTGTGAGATATAGTTTTCTGTTGTAGGATCCTGGATTATCTGCTGACGGTAAACTTTTATGCTAATTGACAGAATCTGTAATAGGATCTATTATTAGGTTAATCTAACAGTAAATATATACAAAGAATATTAATAAAATAAAATAAACAAGAAGTACGCAATTTAGTAATTAGAATGAGACAATGAACAAGGTGAAGGCTTTTTTATTGGTAAGTTTCCCTTGTGCATCCTTGTGTATAAGTTACAATCCTGATTTAACTCTTCAATTTTCCCCAATCTTATCTAAACTTTTGTCTTCTATTTCTTTTTCTATTTTTTCTTCAATTCTTTATTACAAGAGACAGCGTTGCGTGAGTGGGTGCTCGAGGAAACAGCTGAAGAGTTGCATAAAGGCTTTGGTTCTGGATATCCTGGAGGTGAAACGTTTATGCTTTATTTATTTTAGTCCCCTTGTAAACATCATTTAATTACTGTACTATGAGGAACCTAGTTTCATTTTAACAGATCCGAGTACAAAGGCATGGTTGGAACATAACAAGCACTTCGTTTTTGGATTCCCATCATTGGTCCGTTTCCTAAGGATTTCGTGATTGTGACTGTTCATCGTATATCATGCGGTCAGAAATCATTTTAAAATTAAATATAAATATTACCTAACAAAAATTTATCGCACGATGTAAGATTAATGATCACGATAACTAAATCTTTAGAATCCCTAGAAAAAAAGATCTGATGGGGATCTTTTCCCAAATGTATAGCTATCCCTTCAATTTTATTATAATTATAACAAAGGCTGACGTAAAATACTAGTAAAGCCTTTACTCCCAAAGCAGAGTTCACCTGGTAGGAGCTAACCCTGAATCCAGATTCCATATCTGATTTCTTCACATTGCTGTTCCTCCATCCTCAACCCAAATTCCAGATCTGATTTCTTCCAATTGTTGCTCCATTTTTAAAGTTTCAACTTCTGGCGGAACACAGAGGACAAATTTTGAACCCAAACCGCACAAACCACCTCAGAAGTTCGAACCCTAATCCCAGAAGTCAATGTCAGACTTCCCACCGGAGATACTGTTCGACATCCTATCACGCCTTCCGCCCAAGGATTTGATTCGGTTCCTCTGCGTTTCCAAAGCTTGGAACGCCCTCATCCGCCACCACCGCTTCATCGAGGCTCATCTTCAACGCTCCATCCAAACCAATTCTTTTCGCACCATTTTACTCGAGTCGGAAGATGGCTCTCGCCCATCAAATTTCTTTTCATCGGCTTTCGACGACAGTGAAACGTTCGGGCCAGTCGTCCAAATTGAGCAGCCGTTGAAATGCCCTGACGACTATACTGAGATATTGGGCTGCTCAATTAATGGTGTGGTTTGCATTCACAACGGAATGCGTAAGAATCTTGCTTTGTGGAACCCGTCAATTCAAAAGTTCAAGAAGATTCCTCTCCCAACCTTTGAGATTCTGCAGCGGCCATCCTCATTCGGGGTCCCTGAATATGGATTCGGGTACGATTCAGCTAATCACGATTATAAAATTTTGGCAATTTTGAATTTTAATCGGGGGGATGATGCCACTATGAGTTCTCAAGTCAGTCTTTATAGCCTAAAATTCAACTCATGGAAAAGGATCCCAAAATTGCCTTGCGATGGTTTCTATGTGCAGACGGGCGATGTGGTGTTTTTGAACGGTGCTATGAGTTGTTTGATGCGGAAATCAGATTCAGATAAAAATCGATGCAAAATTGTATCCCTTGATCTTGCCAGTGAGAAGTATATGGAGTTTGGCACCCCGATGGGGGATGAGGATGACAATTTTATGATGGGTTTGGAGGTCTTGGGAGGCTCTCTATGTATTTGTGTTCAGCAGTTTTGGCCAAAATGTGATATTTGGATTATGAAGGAATACGGAGTTACAAAATCTTGGACCTTGCTGTATTCTTTTGAGAATGGAGGTATGCCTTATGGCAACAGATATTGCAAACCTTTGGTGTTCTCAAAGAAGGGTGAAATGGTTGTTCTTGTGAATATAGAGCGGACTACCATTTTTTGGTGTGATTTAAAGAAAAAGAGAGCCAAACAAGTCGGAATTTGTGGTCTGCCAACTCGCTTCGATGGAACCATTTGTGTGGGGAGCCTTTCTCTTCTTGACGGCGATCAGATGACTGTTGGAAGGCAGCAGTAAGTCCCTTGTATGTATAATTTCAAGCAGTGAATTTATCGATCTGGTAGTCCAAGCAATAACAAAAGAAAAGACGATCCAAATATGTGAACTTGTGCGCTCCATCCCTTATTCTAGGCTTACTGATCTATGTGAACTTGTGTGTTAGTTTGCTAGTTTGCAAACTTGTGCTCGAGTCATAACGTTATAATTCCATGTTTTCGTTTTGGTAGTTCTTTGTTTTATGTCTATTTCGTCTTATGGTGTATGAATAATGGATGATGTGCTACAATTTCATGCATCTAATAGACAATGTTCCTCACGGTCTTTGTTCTTGATGTCGATCTGGGAAGCAGCAGCGAGTTCCCTGTCATAACAAGTAATTTCCATATAAGCTGGATTCATTCGTTATTGCAAATGTGTTGTGGGAAATGACTAGAGATACGTCTGTAAAACTTTGGGGTAGACATCCAAGGACGTGTGTGGGAAAACTATTTTTTTGCTGCTCACTTTTGCTTTTGAGTATGCCACAGCAGTTTCTCCTTCTGGGATCGGATGAGAAAGATGTTTAAACCTTTGCCTTGTTTTCATAGTTCGAGCCCATCTCAACAACTCAAGCCCATCTCAACACTCCTCGAAAACGGACAAATATAACACTCGAGACAAAAGATATGACTCGGCAAAAACTGTAGATGGGCTCGAGTTTTTCGGGTCTCAATCATTGTGAAATATTCAAGTAGACTGTTTAGAGCAATTAATGTCCCTGAAATTACCTATTGTTATCAAGCGTTTGAATTTATCACAAAAATACCCCGATAATATTAGAAGTGTTGTAGAACAATGGATGTTCACTCGAATAATTAAATAATTGGCCCTTCCTTTTGGTTGCTGAAGCTTGCTACACACTACTCCCATTTTCTATATAAATACAAACCCCACACAACATCAAAGTGGGAAGACTCACGGGAAAGATAGGAAGGAAGAAAAAGGAGAGAAAAGAAAGGAAGAAGAAAAGGAGAGGAAGAGAGAAAGGAGAGGAAGAGGAGAGGAGATAATGAAGAGAGTTATTTTTGTACTTTTATTATTTCAGATTATAATGAAAGCATCACTGCTGCCCCGAGGATGTACTTCAGTCACATTGACTGTAAAGGAACCTCGTAAATTTTATGTCTAGTTTATTTATTCCACTACACACACCGTCGATTTTACAACACGTTATCAGCATGAGAAGCTCTCGTGCCAGTGGAAAGCACAACGCCACAAATCCTATTCACCTCCTTCAGCTGGAATCTCACAGATAAGAAAATCTTTTCATTTCATCTTCAAATCCTAGTACAATTGATTTTCTTGAAGCAACTATATATATTGTTGTATGACTGTATATCATCATTTGCAGAAGCAAAAGAGTACAGACTCAAAATTCTTAGAAAATTTGACAGCCATGTAAACAGCCTCGGAACTCCAACTTGCAGACATCAGATTGAAATACTTTCTTCTTCAAAGTTGTTCGTCCGCCCAATACCTACAACATATCAAATTTTTAGAAAATTCCAACAATGCGATCTTTGCAGATACCTGAAATACCAAACCAGTTCCCAATTTCTGCAGAAAATTGGACAGGCACCTTATGAGTACCAAAACTTCATTTCGGTAGCTCAGATTGAAATTGTTTTTTCACGAAAGTTATTCAGTATCCTCTTATCCATATCATACTAAAATTTGAACTAAATCTAACGGTTTGATCTTCTCATAAGTTGCAGACGCTCTTAACTCCAAAACTTATGGGAACTATTTCGACTTTTTCGAAACTGACCGGAGGAGGAACACCAATTGGAACTTATTGTTACTATTATTTACTGATTAACCAAAATGACTTCAGAACTGTGAAATAAAAATAAAAATAAAAGGAATCAGCAAAAGAAGTGGCAGACCAAGAAAAACAAAAAGCAAAAGATGAGGACTTAATCATTGCATTTTCTGTTTGGCATGTTTATGTGCATGGTGTTGGTTTAAAGCACATGTCACAAGTTCTATTTATTTAAAGCAATTTATTTACAGTGGGTAGAATTATTACCCTTTTGCTTTAAAACTTTGATATTTATGAGAATGATGCTGAATCAAAGCCCTTGTCACAAGATTTATTTACTTAAAAGCAATTTATTTACCATGGACGGTTTTACCGCCTACTGCTTTAAGTTTTGCTTTATGTGAATGGTGCTGAATTAAAACCCTTGTTACAAGCTTTATTTACTTAAATGCAATTTATTTACTGTGGCTGGAATTACCGCTTATTGCTTTAATTTATTTATTATACTTATTTTTGTTACAATAAGTACATACTGGACCTGAAGTTCTTTGATCAGATCAGAACCTGTAGTTTCTTGATCCTCATCATATAAAATGATTGGACCCGAAGTTCCATCATACAAAAAGATCAGGCATGAAGTCCCTTGATCCTGACGACTAGGACATGAAATTCTTTGATGAGTACCGTAAGTTTAAAGTGCCACAGTGCCTCAACTTAATTGTAATAAAAGCCATAAGAGTCTCAGTCTACAGACTATTTAATAAGGACCAGAAGTTCCTTATTTCCATACTCAAAATGGTTTAGCAGAATCATTTATTAAGCGGATGAAATTGATTACCCGCGCTCTGCTCATGAAAATGAAATTGCCAGTTTTGACATAGGGACATGTCATTTTACATAATTCATTATTAAGTTTGGTTGAGACCAGTTGCCAACCATCAATATTTCTCAGTACAACTCGTGTTTGGGCACCAGCCAAACATTAACATTTATGAGTTTTTGGTTGTGTTATCTATGTGCCTGTAAGACTGCCACAACGTACTAAAATAAGGCATCAATACAAACTAGGAATTTATGTTGAATTCGATCCACCATCTATCATTCAACATTTGGAACTCTTGACTGGGGATATATTTACCGCATAGTTTGCGAACTATGATTTTGATAAGATAGTTTTCCCGCCATTAGGGGGAGAAAATAATATTGTTCCAGAATAACGATGAGAAAATATCATTCCAGAAGAATGATAAAAAAAGACCGTTCCATAAGAGCGAAGAGAATTTGTCTTATTTTGATTCACGAAGCAATCAATATGAAAATGAAGTAAGAATAATTGAATGATGCAACGAAAGTGATGAAATCATATATACTTGCTGCAAATGTGCCTATAAGAATGATGTCCCTATTGGACAAAATAATATGGCAGTAAATGATTTATCTGTTGCACGCCTAAAGCGTGGCAAACCCTTAGATTCAAAATGTTCATTCATTCGAAAGAAGAAGAATATGGCACTACTAAACTATTGCATTCCCGAAGCATAACTGTTGCATGCCAAAAGCATGACAGTCGCCGCATGAATATACGTCCCAAAAAGGACAATTCGCTGACATGGGAATGTTGAT